GCTGATCTTCTGAATGAATGGGGGATCTGGATCTAAGAGAGACTAGATGCATCTATATCATAAACTATTAGCTCTATATACCATCTCGATTCTGCATTCTCCATGCTTCATGCTCATTCATCCACCTCTCCATTCGTTCGTTTGCATTGAGCAATCCTCGGTGTTTGACACAATCAAAGAAACTTCCTCCCTCCTCCTTCCCATATAAGTAAGATCTTACCATGTGGTTGAAAGGAAGATACACGCCAGTCAACGGCATGAACCTTTTACATATTCCACACCTCACATGTGGATTCCTTTCAATTCCTTTCTCTTTAGCCATAACCATAATAGTTGCAAAGGAAATTGATCAACACGAGTACCAAATATACTTTGACTTATCTGCAATACTTGGTTACTCCATTCATCACTCCTAGGTATAACACAAGCTACCTACCTATTAATATCTACGAGGTACTTACTCGGTAATATCTCCTACTCCTTATCAATCCCCAAATCGCGTACCGGTAATCGTTCCTATTTGATCATCATGATTATGATTATGATTATGCTTACACCATGATCATGATGAAGTCAGAGTTTATATTTAATTGCACTCGTTCCTTGGAAAAGCGTGTTCCTACGATATAAAAACATCACATCATTCTACTCGTACTAGGGACCTAGTAGGTATCATTGCGCACGATCACTCGTCGAATCTCTTAATATGGGAATCCGTCCCCCTTGGCAATATTGTAATAAAAGTACGTCCGGACTCCACGGAGACCCAAACACATCCAGGTTGGAAAGTATGTGATATGTGAAACAAATGATTCAATTGGCCAATGCTGGAAATGAAATTGGCAAACATGGGATTGAGCTCTTCTATTGGATGGATATTGCGTGGTCTTTGTGAGTCTTTTGTCGTTTCATTCACATTCATCTTCACATTATCGGAAGAGCCCAGTATGGAATTTTGATATATAAAGATGGGTCCCAAATATACGACGACTCAATAGAAATAGATATCGAGCATTGATGACAACCTTCCCCTCTTGGGAAGCTCCAGCTTGAGAAGCTTTGAACCTCTTTGATATCCATAAATCCATGATGTCTTTATCTGTCCGTCAGTAGCGAATAGTCTTTGTGGTTAGATACCTTGTCCCTTGTCCTTCTGTGCTGCCCTAGCATCTCCAGGAATTCATTTATTTCTTACTTGGATGTAGCTTCATGGTTAGAACTTCCTTTCCTCACCGAACCGAGAGAAGGAAACGACCTCGGAATTTAGAATGTAAGAAAGAAACGGTCAAACTCCTACTCCTGAGGCTCAATTCACCCAATTGGATGCATGCCACCGTCGTAGAATCAATCAGACCTCCATATCATTCATATCCATACTCCGTACAATGCACGAGTACCTATCGTATACATCGAGAGAATCTACAGCCAACCATCACGCTCTTACGATAAATATAGAAACATCATCAATCCCTCTCGGTCATTTCACTATCAATCCCTGCTTATATAATCCCTGCCTATATAATCCCTGCTTATATAATCCCTGCTCATGCAAACCACCCACCAAAAGCACCCGTGGACTACCTACCGGCTATTATAACTACAGGATAGCTCTTTCCTGCAGCTCGAAGCTACCGCCTTTTGGCAAAATACCAATGTCATGTGATTATCAAGAATTCACCTCCAAATTAATTCAATATTAGAGGTATTGCTTTTGCAACTCCAACAATCTTTATTCACACCTACAACTCCTGTCTTTTTTCTTGTAAATTACCATCACATCTCTCTCCCAATCTGCCCGATATTTTTGACACTCTTTATGCTACAGCGAACAGAACAATGGCTACCAATCAATCTTCTAATGAAGAAGATGAAGCCTTGAGAGAAAGTTATAACTTCGTCCCAGTTCCTTCAGTTTACGACCACGACATAAGATTCGAAAATCGAAATACCGAGGAATTGCATCATGGGATCCTCGAAGCCGCGCGACTGGAACATGAAAGGGTGCGGAATGAAGCTATGCGAATCTTTCAAATCACTCTCATACACGAACAACAACTCAGAGCCCAACATGAGATCAGAGCTGAAGAGGAGAGATTGCGGATTGAGGAAATGCGCTTGAAGATTGAGGAACATCGAGTCAATACGGAAAGGCTGAGCGCATTGGCAGAATTAAAGAGGAGGGAATTGGAAGAAGCTGCAAGAAAAATACCCATTGTCCCTCCGAAACCTCCTACCCCTCCACCAGTAGCTGAAGTTCCTCGAGCTCCTGCACAAACGGCCTCGAACCCGTCTCAGAATCAACCTCAACCTCCCCAACAACAACAGCAACAGCAGCAACAGCAACAGCCGCCACCGCAGCAGAATAATAACAGTGGAGGGGGATTCGGCGCGCCCAGTCAACAAACGAATCAAAGTAGACCTCCTCAGCAAGGCAATGCCTTTTCGCAACCTCAATCTCAACCCCAACAGCAGACGAATGGATTCTCGAGCACTCAACAACAAGCACCACCAAAGCAGCCATCTGCGCAACCTACACCTCAACAACAACCTACCCCTACCTCAAAACCATCAGCTTCTTCCAGGGATCATTTACTACCAGGCGTGGAACGTTATGTTGAAATTCATAAGAATCTTAAACAATTACGGCAATACTTGGTGACGGAAGGAAAACAAAATATACCATTCAAGAAGATGTTGGGAGATTATCGAAGAGCAATTCGACAAACTGTTGGACAATTGACTGGGGAACGAGGTGCAAATAGGGAGTGTGTAAGTTTGATAATGCTCACTTACTATGGACGAGCACTAATATTTGATAGATCAATAAAATCGTGGCATTACTTGGAGAATCTCTTCGAACGGTACAATCCCCAGGAATCGACCCTAGCAATTATATGGTATCGAAACCAAATCCTGTACAAGGAGCTCAAAATAATGGAGAACAACTTCCCTCTCTATTTATCTACCTTCTCAACTTTTTTTCGAAATCTATCGTTTCTCAATTTATCAATGAAGCAGGTGTTCGACCAGAAATGGCAGATCCTGTTGGTGTTATTGCCGTCTCGATATTTGCTAGAGATGAATTTTTATGGAGAGGTACTTCATTAATCGATATCCTAATGGCAAAAATGCGCATCTCCATACCGGTAGTATTCGGACTTCGTGGAAATGATAAAACAGAAGAAGGAAGGGCTCGAATAGGATGGCAAAGATTAGATGATGGAAGTTGGATCGACGAACAAGCTCATAACAACAGAATGGTGGGATTAGCAGCAGGATATGCAGCTATTTCTCTCCGTGATTTCTCAAAAGTGAAACTCACAAATCCATGGCCACCAACATATTATTGGAGAGCAATTGCAAGTATTGTATCTACACCCACAGAAGAAGCTTCTTCAACACAATACACAGCTTTGAGATCGATGATTGAAGGCTGGGAACAAAGATTCATAGAACTCTATGGAGTTCAAGCAATTGCCGCTTTGAGAGTTGCTCTCGTAGATTTCCCAGCTCGCGCTCCACCGTCGGCAAAAGTGGCAGCGGGTTCGTTAAGTGTGTTGGTGGATAAATTGGATAGGGATAAGGGATTGACGCTTGCATATTGAGGGGAGAAGGAAGGAGGGGAAGTGCTTGTATAGTACGTTAATAGAATAGAGGGAATGGATTTGAATGTTGAGGAACTTAGATTTGCATCAGGAGCTGAGAGGGGAATTTTTGAGTTGTGTTGGGTTCTTCTTTTTTTGCATGAGGGGCGTTAGCGAGGGATGGTTGGTTGAAGGGATGATGAAGTTTGTAACAGATACTTCTCATATTGGTATGGGAGATTAGGAAATGCAGAGAGATGCAGAGAGATGGAAATGGAAATGGAAATGGAAATGGAAATGGAAATGGAAATGGAAATGGAAATGGAAATGAAGATTTTCACGTGTAGCGAATTATATACCCAAATGAATGGAAGCATTTACAGCATTTACAGCATCTTGGACCTTTCAGTCGAGTGGAATCGTAAGTTGGCTTCTTGAAGGAAGGTATTTCTCTTGAAATCATATTATATTATATTATATTGTATCATATTAATACGTATATGATGGATACGCATATAATGAATACAGCGTCACATCACCTCGAACTGGTGAACGCCTTTTCTTATACGCAAGTTATGATTATCATCATCTTCTTCGTTGTTGTTATTATTATTATTATCATCATCTATCATCATCAAAACAAGGAACAGGAATGATAATCCGGGGTTAATATCCATATCCACATCCACATCCATATCTATATTCTTAATCATCGTCATCGTCATCGTCATCGTCATGGTTATAAAAGGAAACTGAAAAATGAGATGTTGAACTTCCTATTCCTAGGTACTTGCTTGCTTGCTGTTTTGGGTTGCGAGGTTAAGATTATATTGAAAGCTGTGTTTGTAATGTTACTTGATTTTCTAATATTACTTAATATACCTAGGTAATTGATATTACTTGATTTACTGATGAATGTTAGTTAATGGATATTACTTGATATTATTTGATATTAGATACTTGATTAATATTCTTACCTTTAAATTTTTGTACTTATTATATATATATATATAGAGAGAGAGAGAGTTTATCTATCTATCTGTATTTTACAAAAAAACTTATTCTGTCTTCTTTATCTTCTTTGCGAATGGTTGAGTATATATACTACTATACTATACTAGACAAGTATCCGAAATATACATTTCTGTATCGGTTTATTTACCTAGGTAGGTATCGAATACTCAATACTTAATACTCGATATAAAGATTTCCATATAAAGATTTCTACATCGATTCTTCGATACGCTTGCGCATATATCTTTATATATAAGGTTATTCCTTTTAAAAAAATAGACGCAAATTTAAAGAAACTAAATACAATCTCACCTCTCTGAAATTTCCAAGCCCGGAATCGGAATATATAGTTCTCTTATTTTTTTAGGGAAATGCTAATGCAATCGCAAAAAGTGATGTAGAATGTATAGCGACGCTTTAGCGAAACCGTTTGGCACTTTTGATGAGACGTGGGGGGATAATATTGTATTTAGATTGGTACATGTTGTTTTGACACAGGTTAGACCCGAGGTATGAGATACTTTTTTTGTTTCTTTTCAGTTATTATTCGTCTTTGGATTGGTCACTATATTTGAATAGTCTCCATTTCCTTTCTCCCCCTTTTCTTGACTTCCATATCCTTCTTCTCATTTTCCCTTCTCTCGTTACTCCACTCTACCTCCTCCATCATTATACTTACCCTCACCCGTATTCTCATAACAAACTCCATAAAAGTAAACAACTAACAAAGAAGGTACACCGTCCCCACGTCGGCCCAACAGGCGGTATGAAATGCGTTGATTACGATTACAACCAAGGGTATCTCGCAGACGACTTGGCGCTTTTCGGTAGTAACGATGCTTTACAATATTGACGAAGAGTTTGATCTTTTTCGCACTCTCGAGGAAGCTTCAGGTGGTCTTCAATTATTGGGATTCTAGTATTTCCATTCTGTTCGAGAATGTGTTTTCGGAAGACTCTTCACAAGGCGGAGGCCATAGTTTAAATACTATAGCTCATATAGAGGCCCAACCACTGCGTCGATTCCGAGGTTTAAACATATGTATTAGCCAGATACATCTGTCGGATATGCAGATATGTCATTTCCTATGGAAGAGTTCGAGCGAATTTTAAAAAGTCGCGAATCTCTGGGAATCATCGAGGAGCATATGTATCTGATCAAGGGGGCGACTCAAGACACTAGTCTGAGTATAGAAATGAAGCTCGAGAATGACGCTTAGTTCGAATTTGGCTTCACCCTGAAGGAGCTGCCATAAATATAAATAGTGATGAATGTCCGAGGGTCGTTATAGTACTTTTCCATTGGAAATACGTTACGCCCCCGATTAACACGGATACATGTTTGAAGGTAAAATGACATATGCTTGTTGCAGTATGAAAACTGCCATTGCCCCTTTTTGTTACCAACAGGATTGCAATGATGGGGCCGGCACGAATCAGTTTCTTTTTTGAGAGCGGTAACCAGATACTAGGTACAAAATTGCATGCCGTTGACTCGAATCCAAGTCAAGCAGCTCATTGTGGGATAACAGAGCTGTTTCCAGTGGAGGAAGCTTGGTAATTTGGATTAGCAATGCAAAATTTTACCACTTGGTGTTATTAAGTGCATTTACATGAATTTTGGGAAATGAAGACTTTCTAAGATCACCCAACCATCTTACTTCACTTCAACTCATCCGTCAAATATCATTATTCTATGACTCTAAGCAATTAATCCCGATCTTCAAAACTTTCTCATAACATCATTAACCAAATCCCCACCAAACGTCGCTCCTGCACCGAAAACCGCTGCATTACCAAACTTGGTAGCCATCTTCTTTGCCCATTCGTGATGCTATGTTTGGTTAGTTTCGCATCGTGAACTGAATGCACACGTAACATACCTTAGGATTTTGAGGATGTGCGGGATGACCCGGATCTTGAGCTTCTTGGCTTATTTTACTTGGGTTAAAACCACCGTTGGGATTATATCGAGGATCTATGTATTGGGATGGTTGACCATTTCCTTGCTGCTCTTGGCGTTAGTATATCCGGACTTTGAGTCTATACGATTATCGTGATACGAGAACGATGAACAAGCGGAATAGCACGGATATGTGGATAGAGCGTCATGAAAATAGACTACTTACAGGAAGTTGTGCCATAATTGATTGAAATTGAGCTGGAGCAACAGCACCACTTTGTTGCAAGTATTCGAGCTCAGTTCGAATGGTATTGAGAGATCGATTTATGGATGCTTGGTCTGGCATGTTGAAGTTGATTTGTATTTTTGCTTAACGCGAATTGAATATGGTAAGAGGGTATTTATTATCTTTTTATATCGTGATTTCGTTAACGTTCTGTGAATCCCAGACCAGCTGAAGTTGTTATTTTCAGGTGTGATTTCCAGGTCAGGAAGGAGGTCAAATGAGGCGACGTCATCGATAATGTTTCTGGCTGATAGATTTTGCCATGCTTGACCGCTTTATATTTATCCCCCTCTTGTTCAATGTTTAAGTATCTTCGACAACTCCAAATCTACCAAACCTCACGCTCTCTCTACATATAATTTATACATATATCAACATGCCTAGCCCGTCATCTTTGAGCAAGACTATTGCCCTCAATAATGGCGTACAAATGCCCCGTATCCATCTCGGTGTTTACATGACCTCTGGACGAGAGACTGAAACCGCCGTATCAACCGCTCTCGCAGCAGGATATCTTGCATTTGATTCTGCTGAATGGTATGCGAACGAGGCACAAGTCGGTTCAGCAATGAACAAATATTTGAGTGCCAACAAAAATGTCAAAAGAGAGGATTTATGGTTCACGACAAAATTAAAAACAAACACAAGCTATGATGCTACAAGGAAGGCCGTAAAGGATAGTTTGAAGAGAAGTGGTTTGGATTATATTGATTTATATCTATTGCATAGTCCGTATGGCGGAAAAAAGCGTAGACTGGAATGTTGGAGAGCGGTAGAGGATGCTATTGCGGATGGAGAGGTGAGGGCTGGTAGTGTGAGTAATTATGGTGTAAAACATGTAAGTTTCCCCTTCTCCAGGTCCTCTTTTCATAATCTCCAAATACGCATATGAATATTTCCTCTTTATCGTTCCTAAATCTCTGGATTTGTTCGGCGTATCTCTCGGCTCGATGTTCTAAATATTGTACAATTTCTCTCCGTTTAGTCGCAGACGGGAGGCTAATATTCTCCTCCCAATAGTTACAAGAAATACTTGATTCAAAGCCACGAATAATTCCCGCTGTGAATCAAATTGAAGTCCATCCATTCAATACTCGAACCGACATAACTTCGTTCTGTCAATCGAAAGGTATCGTAGTTGAAGCGTACGCACCCTTGGCTCGAGCATTACGAATGAAGCATCCTAAGATCGTCTCTTTGTCGAAGAAATATTCGTGTAGCCCCGCACAATTATTGGTAAAATGGTCTTTACAGCATGGTTATGTGCCATTGCCGAAGAGTGTAACCAAAGAAAGAATCGTTTCTAATGGGGATGTCGATGGCTTTGAGATTGAGGATGGAGATATGAAAGAAATGGATGGCTTAGATGAATATTTGGTGACAGATTGGGATCCTACTGATGCGGACTAATTAGATTGATTAGTATTGAATGAACCAGATTTTAAATGCAATGTTCATAATCGCAAAGTGAACCATCTTAGGAATCTTGTCCTCTCAACTCAATTATACCTTCACCCGAAGAACTGTACATTCTGCTATGTCTTCATCTCCCACGCTGAAATAATCGCTAAAGCCCCTTCATCACTTTTTGGCTCACCGTACACCAAACATCGATGAAAGTTGCAACCAATTATTGAATTGGGCTCGTTTTATAGAATGAAGTATCTCCGTGACTTTATGAGTTTGAATTCAAAGATTGAGTCGAGACTGAAATGGTCTTGTTCTATTTTCGGGGGATTCCTATAATATTTACCACGCATCTCCCCATCTCCCCTCATAAATTACCCCTCATCCGATACCGGAAAAATTCCGATTAACGAAAGTATTCATCACAACTTTGACAAATCTTTGTTCCTATCTTCACCAAGAACACTCGAAACATTGGCATCCACCTTGAGCCACCTTCGTCGGATATATTGTAATGCTTTACGAACTGTTGAGTCGAGGTAAGCGGTTGCCGCAAGAAAAACCACATGAGGGTGAGGTGGCACAGTGAAGTTGTTACGCTTCTGCAGGAACAAAATGAAATATTACCAAATAATTTCATGGGTCCAGTTCCAAGACTTCGGGACATGTAGGAAGACTGGGAACTCTCGGGGAAACGTATTGTAACATTTTTATCCTGGAAGCCTGGCTGCCTGGTTTTAGATGCGCGGGGCTTTCATTTTTCCATCTCACATCTTCATCAAAGAGTCAATTATCCTTGATAGTTACCCCAGCGTGGCTAGGGATCTTTGCATGCGCCATACATGCCTCAACATTGCATTTAGAAAAAGTTTGCCGAGCATGCTAATGCATGATTCCGGGTACGTGAAAGCTTGGGCTGTTAATCTATATGCACATTGACCAATAGGAGATGTACGATAAGAATTTCTATTTGATTCATCGGTGACACCGTATATAACATGTCATTGGTCGATTTCAACCTCTCTCCTTCTCTTCTTTCAGTTGGAGTCGAATAATCGTCAAAACGGGATGATTTTCCGTTGTCGGGATTTTTCAGGTATCCAGTAAAAGCAAAGATCCAGAGAAGAGGAGAGAAGGAAAGGGTAAACTTCCTGAAGCTATTCTAATTTTGGTTAGATGAACGGGGGTGGATAAAGCAAAGGATCAATTAGATTTGATATTTCGACATATCTCCATTGTCCCACGCAGATACACCATGTGTCAAGTGGGATGAAAGCTTCAGCCATACAATATGCAATGTAACGATAGGACCGATCACGGCGTGGAGGGGGTCACGTCATGTATCAGATTTTCTTCAATTTTCTCATGGAACATGCAATTCCGCTGACAGAATGAAGATTTTTACACTACAGGCGATCATTTTCATAGTCAACACATTTATGCAAGAGATTGAGTGATACACATTGATTTGACAGGAAGAATGCAATTCGAAAATCTTTATCAAGTCATCCATCTTCATTACTTTTTTCACCCCTCCTCCCCTCTATCCGAGCCTCCAATATCGGAGCCACAAAAAATACTGGAGGCATGGATGCACATACAAGCCTTCTCCTAGCTAGACAATCTATTAGCACATTTCATCGAATATTCAATGGGTCCTGAACCGGCACCAAAGTGTTACTAGTTCGTTCACTCTAATCCACCCCACCTCGATACAAAAAGGTCTCTCTTCCCTTCAGTCTTGCCGGTTGCTTTACTCATTCTACAAACTTCTATCCTTCTTTTTCACTTAACGTTCATATTGCCAATTTCTTCATTTGATACCCAAACAACCACAATAATAATCATGTCTAACCTTCCATCTGAGCCTGAGTTCGAGCAAGCTTACAATGGTTTGTCCCTCCTTGTGCGCCTTCACATGTCAACAAATAACTAACACACATTTCTTCAGAGCTTGCCTCAACTCTTGAGAACTCCACCCTTTTCGAGAAGAACCCAGAATACCGTACCGCCCTCAAGATCGTTTCCATCCCAGAAAGAGTTATCCAATTCCGCGTCGTCTGGGAAGATGACAAGAACCAAGTCCAAGTTAACCGCGGATACCGTGTGCAATTTAACAGCGCTCTCGGACCATACAAGGGAGGATTGAGATTCCACCCTACCGTCAATCTCAGTGTTTTGAAGTTCTTGGGTTTCGAGCAAATCTTCAAGAATGCTTTGACTGGATGTAAGTCTTAACTATTCACAACTCTCCGGTTCGATGGAACCGGACATAAATCAAGAATAATAAGCTGACGATTGTTCTCAACAATTGAACATTGGAGGTGGTAAGGGAGGAGCCGACTTCGACCCAAAAGGCAAATCCGACAACGAAATCCGCAGATTCTGCGTTTCTTTCATGCGCGAATTGAGCAAGCACATTGGAGCCGACACCGATGTCCCAGCTGGTGACATCAACGTTGGAGGAAGAGAAATCGGTTTCCTCTTCGGTGCCTACAAGGCCATCCAAAACAAATGGGAGGGTGTTCTTACTGGAAAGGGAGGAAGCTGGGGTGGATCTTTGATCAGACCTGAGGCTACCGGTTACGGTCTCGTCTACTACGTCGCCCACATGATCCAATATGCTGGTCAAGGTTCATTCCAAGGAAAGCGCGTTGCCATCTCCGGATCCGGAAACGTTGCTCAATACGCCGCTCTCAAGTGTATTGAGCTTGGTGCCACCGTTGTATCCCTCTCCGATTCTCAAGGTTCTTTGATCGCTGAAGGAGATGCATACTTCACCCCAGAAGACATTGGAAAGATCGCTGAGTTGAAGCTCAAGAGACAATCTCTCACCGCTTTCGAGCACGGAGGAAAATACAAGTACATCGAGGGTTCCAGACCTTGGACCCACGTCAAGGTCGATGTTGCGCTTCCATGTGCTACCCAAAACGAAGTCAGCAAGGAAGAGGCTGAATCTCTCGTTGCCAGCGGTGCTAGATACATTGCTGAAGGATCCAACATGGGTTGCACACAAGAGGCCATCGATGTCTTTGAGGCTGAGCGCAAGGAGAAGAAGGGTGAGGCCATCTGGTACGCACCAGGAAAGGCTGCCAACGCTGGTGGTGTCGCTGTTTCCGGTCTTGAGATGGCACAAAACAGTGCTCGTATCAGCTGGACTCAAGAGGAGGTTGATGAGAAGCTCAAGGACATCATGAAAAACGCATTCGAGAATGGATTGGAGACTGCCAAGAAGTACGTCGAGGCAAAGGATGGCGAATTCCCATCTTTGGTTGCTGGTTCCAACATTGCTGGATTCGTCAAGGTTGCTAGCGCTATGCACAACCACGGTGATTGGTGGTAAATATTTATGATGTTGATGAATTAAATGGCCGGATACTTAAAAACTTGTACATATGATGCGGGATTTGCGGGTTGGGTGGGAAATATCTTTTGCGTGGGAAATCTGGTAGCTTAAAGTTAAAATTTTGATGGAAATGAATTAAATAACCAAAGAATAATCTCAGTTTTTTGATGGTGAATGATTATGTATTCATGGCTGAGAAAAACTTAGAGTTTAAATGTATTGCTTGTTTCACGGAATATCTGCACATCAGGCAGACCAAAGTAACGGCAGCTAATTTATATAGGCAAGTTTGGCATTGTATTAACGTCTTTGAGATTGTGTCTTTGGCCTCCTAACAAGTTACTCCAAACTATTCATCTCGAATTCACAAGTTCGTTCTTACTCTCTACATTACCCCTGCGAAGCGATCGATGGCCTGCAAATTTCATGGAGAAATAAAGGGCTAAATCTTTTGTTGAAAAGTAACTGTCTACCCAGGTAAGGAATTCACTCTCATCATTGGGCTGACTGATACAAAGCCATCATACAGGAAAGGGGGGTGGGTATAAGAATCATGTACGAATGGGATGAAGTCTCTGGATACTTGGAGGGGGGAAACAAATTTCTTATGCTTGGGTCTGGAAGGGGATATTGAAGCCAGATGATTCCACTTGTTAGGAAGTCTCTATAGTTCGTTTGGCGAGGCAGTAGATGATAGGTTTTGTAGCGTAACGAAAGACATTGAAAACAAAGTTCCATGAAGACACATTTCATCTACAAGGTAGAGATGAGAGGTCAAAATGTGATCTAGCTGACTGTGTCATTAGAGCCGATGCAGATGCAAGTCGATATCGAATTGGTTAATATAGGGAATGTGTAACGTTACCATTTTATCGTTCAAACACTTTTAATCTCCAGTCGGCCTTTTAAGATAACTATAAATTTAAGCATCAAGGTTCTACAGTACCTGAAGATCGATCTTCAAAGCCCCGGGTCGGAGATTATTAGAGACTCAGCTTCGGCATGTGTAGAAGTGGAAAAATATCTTGCAGATCTACCGAGCTACCCCGGATATGTCAGGCGGCTAGAAGTTTAATTACCCCTGAAGGCGTTCACTCCCCCCTGTCTCCCCCGGAAATCACAAGGCAGATGGAGAATGTAACAAGGGACTGTCGCAAGTGCAGAATTCTCTTCCAGGAAGTCCACCAATCTAGAAGCTTTGTAATCGTTGGGAGTATTGACTCTAGAACAAGCAATCTCCGCGACTCTCGAATCATCTCAAAATGCGATGGTAGTGAGAAGAGATATGTACATGGAAACGTTATCACTATCCTTACACAAGTTTTCCATTCCGGCTGAATCCTTTCGGTAGAATTTTTTAGTCATACAGCCTTGTAACTCCGTGTCTATAGCTCATGTGGTACAGAGATAGATGGCGACAAGATCTTTGGAGTTGCGGTAAGCCCGCTTGCAAATAAACTCTATTTACCCTTTTTCTCCGAGCAGAGTGAAATAGGAAAAGGCAAATATCCTTTGCGCAAAGATTCGGTTCTCCTTTTTCGTGCATGTGAAGTCTAGAAATATCCTTCACAAGATACAGAATGTAACATCAAGCGATTTGGACGCGTAGGCGTTGACTTTCCTATTGTACAAGTGATTTGAGTTTCATCTCCGATGATCAAAGAATTGTCATGTGAATTTTAATGATAGTGGCATGCTGAAGAGCCGCGCAAGAAGGACCGAATGCTTGGTGCTGGTATTGATGGTCCCTTGTAACCTCATCTCATGGAATCTGGATTCAAGCAAATGAGTGAGTGTATCATGGCTATCATTTGATTTTGTCGCGTTATTGATTTGAGCATGGGGAAGGTGAAAAGAGGCACAGGAAATGTATAAAAGCCATAGATATGGAATTTCAGAGAATACGTCTGGTCATCATTCTTCTTACTTCTTGTATATAGCTTTTTCCATCTCAAAGTCATCATGATGAACTCAATATCCACTTTGTCACTTGGAATTAACTTCCTTTCGCTACTTGCTACTTCAAATGCCCAATATTCCCTCGCAGCCACATATAACGCAGCTAACTTCTTCAATGATTTCACATTCTTTACTGCAGCTGATCCAACAGCGGGATATGTAGTATATGAGCCACTCGCTGCTGCTGAAGAAGCTGGTCTAGTATCCACAGCAAACAATCAGGTATACTTGGGAGTGGATCATACGACACTTAATCCAAGTGGAGGACGAGAAAGTGTGCGATTAACCAGCAATCAAGCATGGGGTGAAGGTATGAAGATTCTCCACATAGATGGAGATAAATCTGACCAGAAAAGGCGTCTTCATAGCAGATATCGAGCACATGCCCGGTGGCGTTTGTGGTATTTGGCCTGCATTCTGGATGTTTGGTCCAAATTGGCCAAATAGTGGGTTAGTTTTCAGGGTGTCCAAACTGGCAATGAGATTGCTAAAGAACATCTAGAGAGATCGATATCATCGAGGGAGTCAACCTTGGCACAACTAATACGATAACACTTCACACCGCCGCTGGCTGTACCGTCAGCAACGCAAATTCACAGAGTGGAACAACCACTATAACTTCAAACTGTAATCAAGACAATGCGGGTACAGGATGCGGTGTTGCTACATCGGTATGTCAGCAAATATCGAATCACAAAGTTTTGGATGTACTAACCATAGAATTCAGAACACCCAGAATTATGGCACCGGCTTCAATGCAATTGGTGGTGGCGTGTACGCGATGCAATGGGCTTCCACTGGCATTTACGTCTGGTTCTGGCCTCGAGGTTCTATTCCAGCTGACATCACCGCTAAAGATATTGATGTCAGCTCTTGGGGAACCCCCTTGGCAACCTTCAGTGGTAGTGGTTGTAATTTCGACAAGTCTTTTGCAAGTCAGAATATTGTCTTTGATACCACTTTCTGTGGGACGTGGGCAGGATCTGTTTGGTCTTCAGGCTCTTGTGCTAGTGCGGCTTCGACTTGTCAGGCTTATGTTGCGCAGAATCCGAGTGCATTTACTAATGCTTATTGGTTGATCAATTATGTTCAGGTTTGGCAGTAGAAGACCCGGGGATTGGCGATTACATATGTGGATGTGGGTGGTTTGCATGGCTCTGTACATAGTTTCATGTAAATATTGTTATATATACAGTTAATATTCTTGAGTGTTGGGAAATGGCCTCACTGGCGATGACTTGCAAGTGATGAAGTACACCAACTTTGACGGGACTTGAAATTTGTAAGTTGGCCATGTCATTTAGTGAAATCAAACCTTTGATTCAATCAATTACCTGATCTCTCCATCACTAATTTCTTTGTATCGACCCTAATCTAATTCTCTCCTTTGTGAAGTGAAGATTTTTGGACTGTATCTCAGAAGTTACCGAGCCCCGTGGCTTGAATATTGATCCTAAACGATGTTCGAGACTCGAGACACGTTTTTACCACGCTTGAAGAGCACAGTTCCCACCTATAACGCACGATAATCTACTGACCATCCCTGATATTCTACAGAATTCATAAAAGCTAGACTTATCACCAGACAATCTTGGAGAACACTACACTCGTAGTGAACATATTTGACAACTCAATAACCGTGGTCTCGAAAACTAGAATCATGACTTCATATTTATCTCCATTGCGGTTGCTGCTGCGTAGAACCCGAGAACACGATATGAAGAATAAACCATCTCTATTAACCTAATTATCTTTCGCGACGTTGAGAGAAGGTTTGGTTTCTGAGCTTGTTTTGTGGAGCTCATTCCAGGGTCAGATTGCCGTTGATCTCCCTAAACCCACAGTGTATGCACCATATTTGCAATCGATAACAATGTCGGTCGTAAAATATGTATAGTATTCACTGAGAACGACCCAGGAAATGTGATAATTCATTGAATAGCTGTCGGCTTCAATCGGTTGCTCAAATGACAGATTCGTAAACATAACTAAGAGTGTTCAAAAAAGGCGTCCGCGTGCAGCCCACATCAACAATCCGCATCTGCGCAAAGCACAATCTAAATGCTGGCTAGCTGCAACAAATTGCTTTGTAGAGATCCTGCAGTAAGAAGAGCGATGCATTGAAAAAAAGGCTAACCCTTAGAAACTTGTTCGTTAAATTGGTGTGTGAGACGTGTAAAAGTTGTTTGACTTGACCTGAAGATGCAAAAGCCGCACGACGATACTCTGTGCTACATATAACAATACAAGAAATATAGAGGGCAAAATGAAAGTCAATAGTAGTAGATTTATATGTGGAGGTTATGAGCCGATATCTGGAGCTGAGCACGAGATCATCAGCTTGTCAAGTGTAGTGGAATATCTTGACTTAATTGCCAGAGCTCAAGGTATTGTACTTGTATGAATTCCTAGATTTAACAACCATTGCGATTCATATCTACATACCTAAGTCTTATGCCACTGTTCTTATCCTCAAAGTCTCTAACCTTAAGGATGAGCTGCAATCAACAGTTACTATGCGTCATTCCTCTTTCTCATGGTTCGCAAGTCTCTTCTTATACGACTCACAACTCAAGCGAATGCCTTCCTCCAAACCTACTTTTGCTTCGTATCCCAGGATTCGTTTAGCCTTTTCACCACTCGCATATCTAATAGCACAAGCATCATTCACACTGCCTCTACTCAAAGTAGGTTCTTTTGACCCGGTCAACCACGAGGTAGCTTCTGCCAAAAGACCGGCTACCCAAGCCAAACCTTGCGGTATCGTTACTTCATAAGGCGGGATATGTCCGAACTCTTTCCATACAGCTCTGCTAAAATCTCGGAATGTGATTGGCGTGTTGTTTTGTATAAAAAAGATCTCACCGGCAGCGGTTGGTGTGCTCGAGCGGAGATTTTCAGCGGCAAGCACATGAGCATCCGCGACATTTGTAACGTAGGTTACATCCCAGAGATTATTGGCTGATCCTATAATGAAGGGGGTCTCTCCTTTTGCTATACAGGCGTGTATAGGTGGGATAAGCTGTTTGTCGCCCGGACCCATGATGACTGATGGTCGAAGGATGCATGTTGAGAACGTAGGGGAATTTGCTGCTAGCACGTTTTTTTCTGCCTTTGCCTTTTACTCAGATCAGTAGATTGACTTCCCACTTCGGAATTTTATTACCTTCGATTCGCCATATATTGACGACCTTTTCGCCGTTGGCCATCGTTCATCAATGTTTGGATAAGGATGCGCCCAATCATCAACCACAGAGCAACAGCTACTTGTATAAATAAACACACCTACCCCAGCATCTCTCGTCGCATTCAAGACATTAAGAGTTCCCTCGACATTCACATTTAGTATTTGCTCCTCTATCCTGCGATGGTATCTTTCGCTCAACGGAGGAACTATTCCGGCCGTGTGAATAACGACATCCGGCTTGGTGCGGCGAAGGACATCTCTAAGCCTTTCCGTATCTAGAATATCGCATGCCACAAAACTGATATTTGGTGGGTATCTCGACTTAGTTTTCCATTCGAAGGTATCTTCACTAATGTCCAAGATTTTGATTAAACTAGAGGGGTACCTTTTGTGCAGTGCATCGACAATGGCCGAGCCAACAAAGCCGAGGCCACCGGTGACTAGGACGCTTTGGATCACCATATTGTAAGCTTGTTGACTTAGGTGTAATACGAAGACAATGTCAAAGAAGATTTGTGTTAGCGAGGGAAGTTGTTATCAGCAAGTGTGACGAAGATCGTCGTCTCTAGATGATAGTCACACCTTCCCTATCAGAGATAGCTCCGAGTCCATTTCTTACTATCAGCATTCGAAGACTTGTGAAGAATATCGATGAAGTTTAATTCGGAAAATCTCTATTATCGTTTTTGACACAAGGCTTGGCATGCTACTAATACCTATACCCAAGTAAAAGAACAGATGTTCATTGTGCTCGTAGTAGTTTTCATAAACATGGAAATCTCGCCTAGCCTTTCAATTCTTGCGATGCATCATCAATGTCAGCTTGATTAAGTGTTTGGTTCCAGGACATATTGCTTACTTGTCTTTCTGGGTGATGATATTCGAAATTAATCCAAAATGTCCGTATGTTCCAGTCCAGGCGTTCCCCCACAACAGGGGGCTGATAGTGGACTAGCGGAGTTCAGTGCTTCTTATAGAGTCAAGCCCTGTAATTCGTCAACTTAGCTTACCTAAGCCCACGTAATTTTCAGCCACAGACTAAAATTATGACTAATGCAAGCGTTTGCGCCACAACCGTTCTTCAAGCTTCATTCCACTTGACTTTTCATCTGACGTTTCTCAATGTTCAACATCAGAATGCAATTTGCTCAATTCCCTGTACGACGTCGGACGATTTATATAATAGGAGGAACCAAAGGCCCGATGAAATATGACACCTAATAGTATCAAAGATGAAGGAGATCACCCTCATTCCGATGATACGATATCTCACACGAGCATTGGAAAAAGATCTCGTGACCAAATGGAGCGACCACACAAGATACCAAACTCTATAAAGTCATGTAATGAATGTAGGCAACAGAAAGTAAGTGTCCGCGACATCCGGTATAGCTACTTCTCTAACTTGCACCCCCAGCTTGGTTGTAATGTTGAAAAGGATCCATTCAAGCCTTGTTGTAGATGTACGCGTCTTGGCATCGAATGCAAATTAGACTCTGATTTCAAGAGAGTGGCAAAGAGACAGTATGTTAATATCATAACTCGTATTTGAGCGATATAGTACTGATGAGTATACAGCAAACATGCGGAAATGCAGAAGGAAATAGAGGAGCTAAAAGAATTGGTCGCAAAACAAGCAGCACTACTTGCTGTAGCAAATTCTCCTGATAATTTTGGAAGGGAAAACAACGCATCGTCTTCTACAGACTCGAAACCAAAAGATCAAAGGATTGATGATATCTTAGTAACCGGTGAACAACTTTCGTTTCTGTTCGATCAGTTGAGTCTCTCTTCATGTTATAGCTGCCCCGGAACTCAAGCTCATTTTTTCCATGCAGGTACTTTTCGCGATATCATCATATATGTCCCATTCTTGATCCTACTCAAACATGTGATCAGACCTTTGCTCAAGACCCAGTACTTGGATGGGGGATCGTTCTTGTATCAGCTAGACGTTACCCCCAAGATCCTACCTTGGTACTCAACTTGTCGAAAGCATACATGAAATCTTTGTGGAACTCTATATCTGATATGCCTCAAAGAGCGTCATCTATAAAAGCTCTGGCATTGTTATGTACTTGGCCTGTACCTTTAATACGAGGCTTTACCAAGAGTAGAAATGATAAAGCTTCTGCTACTATGGGACTGAGTGAATTAGATCCGACCTGGATGTTGAGTGGAATTATGATGCAGATTTCTCTCCAAACTGGAATGCATCGACCCCGCCATGCACAAGATTTTCTTAAGCAGACAAGAGATGTCTCGGAAGCTGAATTGAGTGATAGGAAGTTAACGTGGGCTTTATGTAATATTGTCTCTCAAAGGTTCGGCTCTAATCCCATCATCACAGATTGAAAAACTAATATAAAATCCAGTGTTTCGACTGCGAATGGTCAACCTACAATAACCATTTATGATTGGGGACTTGGGGATGGCCTTGAGCAAGATTCCGAAATCCTTCCACCAGGCATCAAACAACGATTGAAGATTGAGAAGTTTTGTCAGAAAGTCTCGAAAACATTATATGGAAATAGCTCCGAAGTGACAGGAGTCCTATCTAATATCGATGAACAAATTTCAATGACTAACATGCTCGAACATCAATATCAACAATTAGAGTCCGAGAGTGTTACGTTCTCATGTAAGTACCTTCTTTGGTAACAACTTTCTTTTATCCACACAACTCACAATTCTAGCACTCAATAAATTATACTTGCTTGCCGCTCGACTTCATTTGCACACCTTTGCATTTTATGTCCCCGAATTCTCACCAAACCACTTAGCCGCCCTTTCCTCGGCATATAATTCTGCTACAAGATTTATTCAAGCACTTCTCGACTACGATCTTCATTCCGAAGCAATACTTCCTTATTGCTCGTATTACATTCTCAAAAACTTGATATGCGCATCATGTGTCCTCTTAAAGATATTAAATAGTACATATGCCATGCAATTCGATAGCACACAAGGGAGATCCCTCTTCAATGCCGCGATCTTGGCATTGAGATCCACAAGTTTAGCTACAAATGACTTCTCGGATCGCATTGCTGAAGCACTCGCCAGAATGTGGAGGAGTGCTGGGTCAGGGGATTTAAACCGAAGACGCGAGGACTTTTCCCCTATAGATATTAAAATTCAATCCAGAATGTCTATAAGCCATGTTCATGATTGCTTTCTACGTTGGAGAAAAACAATTAATCCTCCCGCGACTGTAAAAACTAGCAAGTTTCCCCAACCCCACCTCTCCTGTTTCCTCGTTCCAATTTCTTTAACTCTAACTCTCAAATAGTCTCAGATACCAATTGCAACGGCCTTATAAATAATTCTGATACCTCATACAACAATATGAATGGTGTTGTTATGCAAGATCAAGGCGCCACTGCAACCTATTTCCAGCCCGGATCGTTAGAAGAAGCGATGAATTTTCCACCTATGATTGCGGACTTTGATTTGCTAAATTCATTGGATTGGAATTTCGATGAAAATTTACTTGCCACTTGGACATGAGTGAGTTCGCTCGCCCCGTGATGGCGCATTTATACAAAACTCACTTTTGGACGCTTTACCACGATGAAGTTGCAGGTGTCAGCTTTCGAGTCAACTGGAGAGCTGTAGGAGCTTGTTCAGGCTTCGTGTATGGGACGAGATGAGTGTATGGGAAGGCTGGGGAGTTTGATGGTCCGAGGTTCATCATCTACTGCATGGGAAGATATGGAGTGAATGGATGGAAGTGGGCATCATGGAAGAATTTCCAAGAACTTCTGCTATTGTTTGATCGGAGTTTATACCCATATCCATGAAGATCGCGGACAGAAGACATTACGAAGTACGAGTCGCGGAATCGCTCTGTTATTATCATTCATTGTATTGATAGTCACACATTCAAAAATCCAAAACAAATATAATCATAATCCCTGATAACATGCGTTAAAATCATTCTTTCATTTCTCGTATGACGCTCGTTAATCCCGCTCCATACCGAATTCTCAATTTTCAACCACGTAAAGTCCACGCTTAGAATTTTGACCCATTTCTATTCAACCTTCTCTTTCTCATCGAAGTGAGAATCACAACGCCAATATAGAATAATCCCATAAACGCAGCGATAACTGCATAAGCTACTTCTCCATTCCGTGTATTGGCAGCCAACTGCAATCCCAACCCACCATTGATTACAGCGAGGACAATTAATATCCTACCGTACCATAAATGGATATGTCCAAACATTCCTCGTCGTTGAGCTCGCATGTATCTCCAGTGATGGATGAGCCCGAGAAATGGTTGGATGAAAAATAAAACTACTAATATGATACCGAAGATCATGTGGGTCGTATTTGAGATCTATAAATCGTGAGCCGGGAACATTTCGAAAAAGAAACAGAAGAGAAGAAACTTACAGTCTTTCCTAAAGATGGAGTAACCGCCGCGCCCGTGACGGCTGCGGTCCCAGAACCCGCCGATCCAGAACCGGAAGTCGATCCGGACCCAGAATCAGAAGTCGAAGTTGGACGACCGAATCCCCCGCTATAAGTACCCGTAGCAGTAGCCCAAGGAGGCGTCCCCGTAAACGTGCTACTTCCAAAATTTCCAAACTGTCTCTTTGTGATTCCATCAATCACGATGCGTTTTGCGAGTGTTGTTGATTCGCCAAAGGAGCCATATTTTAATCCTGCAAGTTTGATTCCCAAGCCTAGACCTACTATCAAGAAGGAAAAGGATAGGATTTGTAGGATGGCGTGGAGCCATGGACGACCGAAAACGCGCATGGAAAGGGCGCCGAGGGGGAATAGTAAGACTACGGTTATCCCCATGATGATTCCATGTGCCATATCGTATGATTGGATAGGAGAAAGTCCACTGGAGCTAGAAGAACTGGACGAACTTGACGAATCCGTGGAGTTACCGCTAGAAGAAGTCGTAGCTGCAGAAGTTGAAGTGAATGGATTTGTATCAGATTCCAACTGAGCTTGCGACAGATCGAAAGTAAACGATTTATGGTTCGATCCCGAATGTTGTTTAATCGACGTTGAAGTATCGGTAGTATCGAGAGCAGAACCGGAATTCCATGCGGCTATCCAATTTGATGATGTGGATGTTGTGGATGATAGTTTAGAACTACAACTTGTGCAGAGAACATTGGCGACCATGTTTCCATCCACAATGCCACTCCCGGAAAGTAATTCGACGGTTATGCTACTATCATACTTTGGTTCGACTTGTCCGCTTCCTTTTCGAGGGGACAGTGTCACATTGCCGGTACCATCAGCATACATAACGAAGATGGTACTTCCGGACATCTGGGAACCGATGCCAAGAGCAACCCATTGATATGAGGTTGGCGCCGTGAGTTGAAAGTAGACATTGTTTGAATTACTTGAAGAGATCCCGACAGAGTAAGAGGGACCACCAGAAGCAGCGGAATATGTTGCGAGAGAATAAGCAGTGGGGACTAAGATGTGGGTTAGTAATCTCTACTCCAGTCAGGCTTTGAGTGGTACATACCGATGCTTATGAGCGAGGCTAGGAACGAGACAAGATTAATTACTTTCATGTTGAATACTCGAATATTTCATCACAGTATCGATATCAATATTGGATCAAAGGAAGGTTCATTATTCAATAATATGGGGGATACCCGGGTTTTAACATTGAATAGGTATGTCTGAGGACGCCGAAGAAGCAAAATCATAATTAAAAGGCATTCACACAAGCTGCTTACGAAATGGCGTCCGCAGCTTGATTCACCATGCAAGTTCAACCAACCAAAATCAATTGGAATAAACAATTGCAGTTGAAACAGATCCCGCATCTAAGCTTACCTTCCTGCGCCTTCGTATTGGTAGTACAATTACAGTTTTACACATAGATTTAGCATCATAGACGTGCAATCAAAACTTTGATGTGTTCTTAACAAGCGGTAATCTCAGACATCCTCTGATAAACCGATAGATCTACAGGACGTGCGTGATTTTTAGTCTGCCAGATTCCCAATCCATCATTCTCATAGAGATCTCGGACGGTCAATGCTCTTGTCAGAAGTTTGATGGAAGTTTGAGTTGTAGAGTCAGTCGATCCAGCCAAGTGAATTTGGTATTTATCGGGCTCATGTGGTGTTTTGTGTGAACAATTGCAACGATATGGATGGATAAGAAAATATTGATTGCGCGTCCATGCGCATGCCAAGTAATTGTGAGATATACCGGTAAGGCTGGGACGTGATACTGAGTATCAGTGTGAAATTTAGTACAGAAGACTGTACTTTGTAAATGGGGCTGACATGTCGGAGTTTTGTGATGGGGAAGTCCGATTACAACAACACCCAAGGTTGTGTGCGGATATTGAGTCCTGTGTCCGGACAAATAGACTCAAGTTTTCAGCGGGGCGAAGCTTTTAATGGAACTAGAAATCAATAGCTATAAAAAAAACCTGAAGTGTCGAGATTTAAAAGTATAGAGAAGGTTGGTTAAGTGGGAAATCGGAATACATCGATGAAAGACATGGCCAATATGGTGCTTTGAGATTGTACGCCAACGCAGAGCAAGAATAATAGAACATAACTATGGATGGATGCATACGCGGAAAAAGCAAAAAGAATATACCCTTGAATGACGTATCTCACTGGAGATCCCAAACACACGGCTGCTTTCACAAAGGTTCACGCCCAATGTCCTAAACGCATTCCGAGTTTCCTTCTCCAATATCATGTTATAGTTTTAACTTCCCTATCCGCAATTGGGCTATAGCTATCCAAAACATCTTAGGCATTCGGTTTCCCGTGGCTCCACTGAGTTCGTCAAGCCTCTCTTTTAACGCGCAAGATTCAATGCCGCATTCCAAGAGGCGCGAAGTGCAAGTCATTGAACCCAAGTTAAATGAAAGGTTCGAATATTTACTGGGCTCTCTTTCGGGAAAACAAAAAGACTATGCTTTCAGAGATCTGTTGCCTCTCGAAAATCGATTTTCTGAGAATTCGTCGTGTTTCATCCGCAGTCGACCTATTCCATCCAGTGACCTCAAAGACTGTACGGCTCTCGTCCTGTCGTGAGCTTTTCCAAATCTTCTGCCCTCCATCATTTTGTCCAATAGCGGTCTTAAATTGGATTTCCTGATCAATATTCCTTTCTTTCGAAACGCTCAGAAATTCGGTCCAACTCTTTCATGAGAGAATCCAACGATTCGCTTGCTCTCCTGGCATTGTCTTCCTCCACCTTTCTTTTATATTCTGCCTCTTTTGCTTCCGAATTCTTTGCGGATTCGCTTTCGCTCGATCCCTTCCTATAAGAATAGCGTCTTTCTCGCTTCCCCTCGTACGTATAGTTACCCGATGCCTTTGATGTTTGAGATCCCGCATTACTTATTACTTTCTCATACTGACGATCGTAAATACTTCGCTGATCTTTATCAGATAACACTTCGTACGCACTTCTGACCTTTCAATAAATCAGCACTAAGATCTCTTTTGCGTTCCCCTATTGTTAAACGAAAAATAGTCAACCTTTATAAATTCCTTCGTTGGCCCACCATTGTTTTTATCAGGATGGTAGGTTTTAGCCAAAGCGAAGAAAGCATATTTTATATCTTGCGCAACAGCATTGTGTGAAATTCCAAGAGCTGCGTAGTGGTCTGGTAGTAATTGATCCATACTTCAAATCTGGGGAAAGGATCGCTTTGGGGTATTCATACTCCCATTGTGGGCATGGCCCACTCTTGTCTGCACTTTAGAATGCTTGTCGTGACCCGCAATGCTGCATAAGGGTATGGCAGAATGGTACGTGTCAGTGCTTCATTGCAGTACGAAAGATTTCAATAACTTAGCACACATAATCAGGGCGATTTGATAGCATTTCCACATGATAATGTGCAAAGTTCCTGAGAAGGCAGTCAATTCAAAATGCAGGGAAAATGTGTCAACTCATGACTGAATTATATTTAGGGTATAAGACGCAATTCTATCGCTTGATAAATGGCATATGATCAGGATGAGTCGTATATGAAATGTCAGAATGCACCCAAGACTAGGAGGATTTTCATACGCCTACCATAGCATAAGGACCCATCTCCATTAATTTTTTTAGTGGGAAGGTGCACACCCTTCTCGTCCCTTTAAACATTTATGATGTCACCCTAACCAGTTTGTTCTTCCAAAATTGCAAAATTTTCTGGAGGCACCTACGTGAATATTTTGAGTAAAATTTGCTTCGATATCTCGAGGTCGTAGAGATTCTTGCGATTCATCACAACGTAGAATGTTCATGCCTAGTACCTTCATTGCCTGTGGGTGGCTGTGTGAAAATTCTTGGAATATCAAACGAGGAAAGTGTCATCGAAATTTTTGGCGTGAGACGAGAGGGATTTTTTTTAGGTTTGTAGCTTCTGCTGTACATCCTGACTTGTTCCCGTTCTCTCTCTGTCGAGTCTCAGCACTTTCGGCGACTAATCGTGAGAATGCGACGGCTGGGTTGGGTTCTTTGGGAGGTCCGCTTGCAACCCTTTTGTGTCTTTCTTCTAAATAGGCTCCTAAATTTCGGCTCAGTGCGCAGCTTGCAATTCGCACTTCATTTTGCGGTGGAATATTAGGGTCTCCAAGCGACAACCTATTCTTAGCAAAGTGTCGATTCATTCATTATCTTCATCTGAAGTCGCCAATAGTTTCAACACCACTATTCCGTAGGTATCCAACACAAACTCTGCTTGCAATTACATGTGGGCTCGAGATCGTAGAGGTATCAGCGTGCTTCAAGGAGTTGAGTTGCCCGCGCTTGCATATCGGCTCGTGCCTAGATGTACTCTGGAGCTTCGCATGAAGGAATTCGCATACCAAACATAGCAGATGGAGGAAGTCCAGCGCAAACTATGATATTCTTTTCAACGACTACCAATGGGGAGTCTTATCACATCCACCATAACGCTCACAGCCTTCGCGGGTAATATGCCACAGCTAGTCAAATGGAAATCGATAATTGTGAGATGGGTTCTTTCGAGATGGGAAGTAGATGTGCTTGCATGCAATTCAGCATATTGATGATGTAGTTGCCCCCGAAGACAAGATTTGGGAATCGTATCTTGCACTGTAGTTGATCAGGGTTTGTAGAGAGTGAGGTGACCATCTTGCTTCTAAGCTAGAGTAGGGATGAAAGGAGGACACAACGAGAGGAATTAGTGCAGGAATCACAGAAGGGCTTGTCAATGAAATTCGAATCTCAAAGGGACTCGCAGAGGATAGAAATGACTGTCATCAAACATCGTTGAAATAGAGGAGATCATTTTGAAACATGGGGTTTAATCTGTGAAGCTATTCCAGTCGGAGTTAGAAATTACTTGCACCGATATCGATTACTAAGCGAGGTGGTTTGAATACCACAAAGACAAGGCAGATTGTACCAATGCCATCGTTCACAACAACCAAAAAGTCATCAAGATAATCATGGCCAGCAAACAAACTACAAATGCCTTGAGAATCTCGCCTCCACTGATAAACTCAGCCAATCCCGTAAGTCTACCTCCTTACCACTGATTTCTGTAGAAAATGCCGGGAGACCTCCGTTCTGTTTTGCATTGCACTACGCCAACAGTGTTACTGATAACGCTTTTATGCTCTTTCCCAAGAAGATATAAGTTGGATGTACTTTGCAAGTGGAAAGTACCAATCTTAAAAGAGTACCATGAAGTATTAGGAGCTCATTGTCATCGCTAGTGGGCAACAAGTAAATCCGATCTCCTCGCCCTCTACAGCTGTCCTCACACCGGTGCAGTTACAGTCAGAACTTCGCTTTTAAATCCTTTTCCGCACAACTCACAACTACACCAATATACTTTCTTTGATCCTAAATCCAATTCCACCAGCGCTTCAATTTTTGAAGGCCGAAGTAACGTCATTCCAGGCGAGACGAATAGCCTAAACACACTCGGTTATTCTCCCATATCTTTAGACTCATACCTGGAAATTCTTCTTGAGCTTGCGCAAGATAAAAGCCTTCAGCAGCTTACTTCAAAACCATGGATTATTTCCGTAACTGGTTCAGCTGAAGAGGTTGGTGAATGCTATGAGCATATTTTGCGACAACATGGAAAAGCCAATTTGAATATTATGATGGAAATCAATCTTTCATGCCCTAACATTGTGGGAAAGCCACCCCCCGCTTATGATGGGGAAGCAATGGCTTCGTACATTAAGGTCATAAAAAGTATGAAAACTGGGACAACCGACAAAATTCATGTAGGCATCAAAACTCCGCCGTACACGTATTCTGAGCAATTCAGGAACTTGATTTCAGCGCTAGAATTTGGAGCCTTACCTTCTGGAGACAATGCCATATCATTTGTTACCACAACCAACACTCTTGGGTCGTGTTTGATCATAGATGACCTGGGCAACCCTGCACTGGGCTCTTCAAATGGTGAAGGTATTGGAGGAATGGCTGGTGATGCATTACACCCCATTGCATTAGGAAATGTCAAAACAATCCGAAGAATGCTAGATGCATCATCCTTAGAATACATGAGGAGTATAGAGATAATTGGTGTTGGAGGTGTAAAAGATAGCGCGGGGTTTAGCAGAATGCGCCGAGTCGGTGCGTCGATAGTGGGGGTGGGGACTGCATTGGGAAGAGAAGGAGTAGGTATCTTTGAGCAGATTCTTTCCGGGGTGGCAGAAGAGCTTTGAATGAACAATCAATAGTCCGCCTCAGTACGCATGTCATGTTGCGGTGTTATCCAGGCTGAAACTTACGTGGGTGAAGCACAATTCCTATGTGATACGATTGGTTTCTATTTCAGAGGCAAATATTCTCTACCGTCGGGGCGGGCTTTGTCGTCATATATGTTACCTTGGATGGGTCATCCAGAAATAACAGATTTTCTAGATATTCGAGTCTACCTTCTTGCTCTCGTGTCCATGAGATGCTCCATGTATCATTCTTACCGAGATGACCAGAGAGATTTGGAAGTCAAGATTATGGTTTTCAGAAAGAATGAGTTAAAAACTTCGGATCATGATTATTATGGCATTTAGCCCTCAAGTACTTCTCCATTTTCTTTCCTTGTTTTGAAGATTATTTTGCGCATACTATGGTGACACTCAAACACGGAACTCATCCCACCACCTTTCTTTATCTTTTAATTGGCCATTCTCATCAAACTCAACTCCCTCACTCTTCAATAATTCCAACTTTTCACTTTGATTAATGCCCGACGGGGCATTCTGCGCTTCGCCCTTGAATCCCCCGATTGCCTATTGTTGACCAACTCATCAGCATTGAGAAGACTTTATTATCACAGTTTCAATGGACTAATAAAGAGTTCTTACCCCATCAGCACAGATAATGCGATGACACGGAACCTGCGGAGCATAAGGATTTCGTCTCAAAGCCCCTCCAACGGCTCGAGGAGCAGTTGAGAGAGCTTTGGCAAGAGAGGCGTAAGAGGAGACTTTCCCTGCAGGAATCTGGAGGAGAAGAGTGTAGACTTTCTGTGGAGGTAGAGTCAGAAAGATAATCAATAAGATTAGAAGAAACATACTCTTTGGAAATCTGTGATTCCTGTCATGGTGAGATTGCTTGAATCAGATAGAGAGCTTGTTTGCGACATTGCCACACCGACGAATCTAGGGACTCTAGACTTTAGAGTAGCAAATTTTTGACTTCTTAATTCGCTTTGTGGTTTTCATGAATTTGAATCTTGATCTCTGTGCAGTGATTAAAGCTTGTTAGGATGTAAATCCAGACCTGCTTAATATCTTAGATTCACCCTTAGGCTTATTCTATTCACCTTATGCTTTTGAGACGAACCAAACTTATTTGCTATAATATCTCCGGGCAATGAAGATTTCTAGATGAGGAAAATATAATTCTAGCAAGAAAGAGAAATAGGCAGATGTATCTGGATGGTCTTGGCAACGAGTGGAGGTCTATGGAAGGTTCTCATTGGTCACTTCTATCACAGTGATTACTAAGTCGTCTTTCCAGTCAACCGCGCCTCTCATTGTTAAAAGTTGAAGATATATTACTACATATCCAATTTTAATCATTCCATTTCAGAGCAGTGTATCTAACCATCAATTCTCACCACGGGGGATAGGCTAGTTCAGATGTCAAACAAACACCTCTTCCCTACTTCAACTCGACGCTACCAAGCACTCCTATCTCGCGATCCTCTGGCGCATTCTTCATTTATCTATAGCGTGACCACGACCAAAATATATTGTCGTCCCACTTGTCCCTCGCGTCTCGCACGTCGTGCGAATATTATTTTCCACGAGACTGCGGAAGAAGCGGAGAAGGATGGCTTTCGAGCTTGCAAGAGATGTCGGCCTGATATTGATGAGACGATGATCAAGCACGGAGTAGATGGCGGTTTGAAGCCTAGGAATACCGCTTCTATGAACGTAAAAATCGGATCCAAGGCTGACGACTTAGGTGAAATGGGAAGAGGGAGAAGGATGGTTGATCAAGCTATGAAATTGATCGAGAGCGAGCTGGCCAATGGTGACCAGAAATGGACGATTAAGAAAATGGCAAATGAAGTAGGGCTGACCGAAAGTCACTTTTGTAGGGTATTCAAGAGAGAGACAGGTGGAACTTTGGGAGAGTACAGGATGAAAGTCGTTGGGCGACAGGTGGTGGAAATGACCCATGGCAACGAGACGACTGACGATTGGAATACACCCGCGGATACTGAACTGTTGTTTAATTGGGATAGTTCCTGGGATGAAATTCGCGATATAAACAATTCAAATACCAACATTCCGTCTTTTGGTCTTCGCCCGACCAGTTTATCTGACATTCATTCAGATGATGGAATGCAGTTTTTGAACTTGGAGTGCTGTGGAGATTGATCAAAAATCCGAATCACACAAGATCTCACCTAAGTCCTGCGTTTAAATTGTTCCGGCAAATTTACAGTGACCTTTTCCAGCAAAACTTCAACTTCAACCATTTACAGGCAATCGCTAGCATAGATTCAAGGTTTCAACATCAGTTTACATTTGCTTGATTCGGATCTGATGCATCAGCATTATAATATTTTCCAGCGCCAAATAAATGCAAGTAGTATCAAGTTATTTCCACGTCGCCACAAGGGGCTGCTTCTACCTTTCCAAAAAACCGAATCTTCAATCTTAGCATTGGATTGATGCGTCAATTCCTTCATCTTCTAGTAACTCAGAGGTCTGTAATTGTTCAAAACGTGTACATCCTCTGCGTAGCACACCAGAGTGGCATGCTTACCATCGTATGCGTATGAGTATAGCTCTGGACGATACTCCCGGAAGAACGTGCTGGATGGTGGGCAAAGCCTTTCTTGCGCATTGAGATTATCCTTGTATTGTCCCGCGCAGCATGCCTTGTCGGTTCCATAAAGTCGCAATCGGAAGTGTAACCATGATGAGTAGTGCCTTCAATTGGGAGTTTACACATTTTGGCTGCTAGGCAGTACATCGTCGAATCAATATCAGTCATTTTGATAGACGAGCACTTGGTTTCGTTTTCCAAGAAAATGAACTGCGTAGAAGCGCTCATACCATCGACTGTAAATCTTGGATCCAGGCAAAGTCAGAACAGAGAAGATACATTATTGCCAAGATTATACCAAGATGAAAGACCTCGACAGTCCAGGTACTTCAAGGCAATTTCTCCAAGTGCTTGACGTGGACCACTTTTGGGATTATAATCGGCGCTGTCAGTATCAGTGCAGCCTCTCAAGAGTTTCCAACTTCTTAGATTTCAAATTTTCTTCACGGGGAGCTAGGGAAGGGACAGTCCTGCATATGATTGATCGTACTCCTGGAATTCACGGGAAAACTCGAACAATTGAGTTTATTGATTACAATAATTGCGCCTAAAAATCATTTAACTCCAAGTAATTACCCCGATCTTTTCCAAAACATCAATTGTTTTGCGGGACAATAAAGAAACCCCGTGTACATATTCTCCAGGACATTCTGACAACAAGCTGAAGTTTCCGATCACTACGAAAATTCATGAAACTTGTCCAATCTCCAAACTTCGAATGCGTGCCAAACACACAAAAAAGAAATTTGAATCAAAAAACCCAAAAAATCAAACTCCCCATCGCCGGCATAATATTCCATTCGTAAGGAATAAATCAGGTTGGAGACCCTTCGTAGAAGGACTGAGAAGTAAAATGTTAGCTTTAGTTCAGCTACAGTAGAGTGAAAACGAATGGGAAAGTACAAACATTATCTTGTTAAGCCGGAGCTTGAATCAATCTATTTAAACATTTTCTCGAATCGGCAGATAGCTCCTTTGTATTGGGGTCGACAACTGCCCAATCACAATCCAAGTCCATGTTGAAGAAGTGATAGATCACGTCTGGAACTTCTTTGCAGAATCTCAGACCAACTCTGTCGTCATATGCATAGGCATACGAATTCTTGCATCGGTTCGAGAAGTGCTGGCTAGATGCTCGGCACTGGTTGTGATTATGGACCCCTCTGCAGCATGCCGCATCAGTATTGTGAATCTTGCAATCAGAGGCACAACCCGCATGATTTGGCTCGCCACTAAGAATAACCTTGTGGGTATTTGGACACCAACCACCGGTCGGGTCTTCGGTGCAGCCGTACGGAAGACAAATATCGCTGTCAGGAGCTACAAGCATTTTGGTTGTGTAGCCATCTACAAGACTGTGATCCAGGTGAGCTCCACCAGCGTGTACATGGCCATTACCCTTTGGGTTAAATGTCGCTTCGTTGACGTTGTAAATGTCACCATTCGTTCTATAGCGAAAGCCCTCGGTGGTACATCTGGTACCGTTATCATTGCAGCCAAATTGGACAATTTCTCGTCTGGTGTATGCGGTGCCCTGGGGCCAGAATTTCTCAGTATTTCCTTCAACTAAGACCTCGCCCGGCTTTATCTGTGGACGTTCCTGATCTTCCGAGGTTCTCAATGGTACATGAACGTAGTTATCATTGTAAACTTTGCCTTCCAGGAAAACTGGCTGCTCCGTCGCGCCAGAATTTACATACACATGAACTGTACCTTGAGAGCTGGCTGTAATGACATCTCTGTTCTTATGGAATTCATGTATATTTGGCAACTTGGCAAGGTATGGCTCTGGTGATATTGCGTCTGTGAAGTGCTGATAGTTGGTGGGAAGCTTTGCCGGATCTTGAGCCTCGATGCTTGCGACGAAGACCGCAAGCACGATGAATGGGTCGACAATTTTTAAAAAATTCACCATCTTGAATGGTTCAAATCCTACAATTTGTCAGTCATGTATGATGATATTGTGGATGGCTACATGAATCTTAATCATTCGATAAGATCTCTAAGTGTCCAACGACTTCGTTGTAACTATAAATGAAAGATTCGGGGATACTGACTAGAATTCTGGTGATATCTGGACCTATGAGACGAGTATAGCAATTTGCTCTTTCGGATTCAACGTTAGCAGTCTCAAGTGGTCTTCTTCCTTGGGGGAAGATGACCCCTTTTATACCCAAAAGTGAGTCGAACGCTATAATGCAAACGTCATTCTACATTTGTTAAATAGCTTAATTTTAACACCGAGATACTCAAGAGCATCGAGGTTTTCAAGTCTCTAGTTTTTACCAACATGACTCACCATTAGGTGACGATGAAATGTCGAACTCATGATCTCATCTAGACTTTAACTATTATTGCTTTGAAGCTTTAAAATAGCTCATTTTGGACGTGAGGGAAAATTTCTCCGACTTGATAGAAAATTTCGCAGCCGTCGGCCTCAAATTCCAATTGAAGATCTTACATAGCCACGGTTGGCCAATAGTACCAATCGTCGTGTAGATCAGAAATCAAGAATGTTGTCTAAAAAAAAGAAGGTTCTTTTGTTCAGACTTTCACTAGTGCGAATACAGTTTTGGAAACCGTATTATTTGTCACATACATTGCTCTTTCTCTTTCTCTTTCACATTTCTTCTTCACCTTTCTTCTTGCTAGTTTCTTGCCTCGTTTCTTGGGGTCTACTTTTCGGGGGAAGGTAAACTTCCTATTTTCGGTGTTAGATCATGTATTGCCATTTATTTGATTATGGGTGATTTACTCTCGTGCTACCAAAAGTAAATGATTTGCTCACGCTCATGTCACTTGGGTTCTACGATGGCTAGAATCTATGACGGGAGACTGGAACCTACGATTGGATATTAACAATCTATGAATTTGAGCTAGATTCTATTCATAGATTCTAACCCTAATATTCTAGGATCTAGGTGGTATTAGACTAAATTCATTGCTATTTTTGTAATGTGAAAGTGATTTTTTGTACTTCCATCTACTAGTAGAAGATGCTTGGCCATTATTAGTCGGTGACTAGCACGCACTCGACGGTCGACTATAAATTAGCGAGGACTAAAAGATCCCTTTTGAGGATTTTTTTTGGACTAGCCTTACCCTTTCGATCAAGCGGACAGAAACTTTTTTGACACTTCAAACTGCCTTGAAATATCGGCGACGAACTCTATTTTCCATAGCCTAGACTACGTGCGATTTAGTGTTCCAATTGGGCAAGGGCAGGTACCAATTTGAACACCCTGAAACTGAATTCATCGCAATGATAGGACCTTGTAACTTTGACGTGTCTCGAAATTCACAACGATTTTCATGACATACTTTAAGCATTGCCAAAAACTTCACGCTGATCATCTAACAAGACAGTGAAGCAGATACTATCGGAAAGTGGTCGTCACAAATAATAAGGTTTTCAGATAAAAGAAAGAGCAGGTCGGTTGCAATCCCCCGGCATGCAAATCATATTCAAGAATGACAGAGTTACTTCGTCTTACATTATCTAGCATCGGCTGCTCGTTATCGGATC